TATATATATATATATTTAATAGATGTATATATCTGTTGAACAAAGCTAAAACCCATTTTATTTCTACTTTAGGCCATCAATGGAGTGTCTTCTGTAACCATTTTGGGACTGGATAAGGGGTTGTTTCCGCTATCTGTGGAGGCGTCCTCGAAGCCGTTGAAATCATCAGGCGACATTCTTTCTCTTCCCGTTCCTCCCTTTTTTAAAACGCGATAATACGACAGAAATACCACCATGGCCACGGAGTTGAGCAAGAAGTGCAAGGTCGTCATGATGAACTGAAACACGCTGGGTGCCCCCGATGTTGCATTGGCTATCAGCTCCCCTGCGTCGCATACCATTGTCATAATCGCCACAACTAGGACTACCAACACAAATCGGTGAGACTTTGTGACGGTTGAGAGGACACCCAAAGCGCCCGCGATGATGGTGAAAGACGATGAGAAAAAATTGAAGGCTGCGACTGAATCCGAGCCACCCTGGACAGCGTTCTTCCTCATTACTGCGCACAGTTCCACTGTAGAACTCAACATGTTGTACAACGAAAATATTACAACGCAGGCCGCCAGGTTAAAGGGGCCGATTCCCCTAATGTTGCAGTTGCACTTTGACATTTTCGTGCGAGGTGTTCTAGATGTATTCACCAAGACAAACCACAAGGAGAGATGATAGCAAGCCGGTGGCTCTCTTCAAAGAGAACAAACAATACTCTGGAAAGCTTTTTGCTTGCCCTAAACTTCCAAGCGAAAAATTCACTGGGCCCTCTGCCTCGGTTGTGTCAAGCCCCCGCCCCGAAGCGCTTGCGCACAGCGACGACCCCGATGGAGGTGAAATCAAATGCTTTTCTCAAGCAAAACCAAAGCATCAATTGAAAATCCTTGTAAATACATCGAAATTTCCCCCTTTGCGGACACGCGAAGTGCAAACGATGCGCGGTAGACCGCTGCCGACTGACACTCCACGATGATGCCCAGTGGTCTCGTGGCTGCATATGTCCCGATTACGCAGGAAATGGGGGTGAAAGTTCTGCGAATCCTGGAATAAAAAGAGACTTTTGGGTTTTTTCTAGCGTAGAAACGTCAGGGTGAGGCGGAGGTACCCCTGGATGCCATGCAGCAAGCTGCAGACCCACGGTTGCCTCGAGGCAAACCGAGCAGTTTGGAAACTCATTAAAAGTTTGACAGAATCAAACTTCCTCTTCAAGATAAAACATTTTAGTTGCTAATAAATGGACCGTTTAGAAGCGGCTGGTTGCCTCGGATTGCTTGAGAGTGAAATCATCTGCTCACCCTGGCCAGGCCGTAGGGCACCGGTCGAGACGAATGCACCGTTAGAAGTCCCCGCATAAACTAGAATATGAAGTCAAGCTTTCCCCTTAATCTTGTGATTTCCAGGATTTCTGATGCACAATTATTGAAGGATGCATATTTGCTGCAGGCTGGTAACGCCACAGCGTCTCTCGTCGTGTGCACGCAGAATCAAGCCTGCTGAATGAATAACCTGGAATTCTCAACACTTGAGTTGAAGGCCTTTGCTTAGTTTCTCAACGGGTTGTTGAGCTCCGAAACTCTGCATACTCCGCGCGTTCGTACCCGTATGCGCTACTCACCTTCGATGCCGACGCCACAGGCGACGGACAGCACCCCACTGAAACGGGAGATGCAAGCTGGAGCACGACAACGGTATCTCCTTTTCTTATGGGAAACCGTAAGTTTTAAGACCGAACACCATATTTATCTTCATGGGGGAGGGCGCTGTGGCGCCGCTCACCTGGTCCTGCCCATATGCCCAACCATAGGCTTATTCTGCTGGCATTCAGCAGGTTTCAATTGAGTTGCATCGGTTTTGTGCAAGAGTGTTGCAACCTGGACTTACGTCTGTTCGCTGTCTACTTCATCGTGCTCTTCCGTCTCTCACGCCGTTCTAAACCGGCGCTTCTGTATTGCAGCGACGGCATCGAGGATTTTGCGAGTCCCGCTGTAGCAGCAGTACTGAGATTTTCACTTTCTTGTATGTCAGTACTTCGCCGCATGTATCTCGAGGAGGTTTATGATGTTTCTAGAGTGAAAACGGTTGCCTCCACTGCACTCAGAACAAAACTGTCCTCTAGTAGTGACTGTGGATGGCATGATGAAGACGGCTTTGTGCAGCTCCGTTAGCCCATTCACAGTTCAGGAATACACATTTTTCTTTGCATAATCCGCCCACTATGGGTAGTCGCTACAATTCTTTCTCTATCTTAACTGGATTTGACTGCTACAGGGATGCCCCTGTCATTTCAAGGAAGATTGCATCGCTTTCGATGCTCAGTAACAGTCCGTAGTTTCCTCCAGTCGTCTTGTTGGTCTATAAAAAAGCCTGCAATGTAGTGCGCAGCCTCTAGCTTTAGCTTCCCAAAAGCACCGCTGCTACACGCAGCACATCCTCTTCGCAGCTGAAGCTTCAGTTCAGTGTAGGGAGAAAAACCTCTACTGAATTTGCTCATAACTCTAGGTGGTGAACTGCACGCAAGTTTTCTATCTGTGCAAAATTGTTTTCAACAACATTACCAGTATCATCGGCGTGCTATCGAAACCCCGTCATTAGCCTGAGAGTGACGGTAAACCCCAGCAGCTCAATTACCTCAAGCCTAAATCACAATCATTTGGACTTTGAAAGAACCTAGGCGAATTATCTCGCGTCAAGACATATTACCCGCCCTCCCCTCAAGCACCTCCCCTGATCCTTTGATATTTCCATGGTGCCCGCAGAGGAGACGGGATGTGCGAGCCACTAGTGCAGAGAGAAAGACGCAACATTTACTAAGTATTTAGGCTTTTCACCCTTTCTTGTGCGGAGATGACTGATCGCCCCCCTCACTTCAGGATTGGTACATTGGTACAGCTTTCCCCTTCACCGGTGAGTTGGCTCAAGTCGCTCTGCCCTCCCTATATCACTTGGGCCACCGACTCTTGAGAGGAAAGCAAATTTCCCCTTCTAAAGCAAATGCAAAGCTTCGGAAAGCGTGTTTGGAGAAGCATAGTTTTTCGCAACGGCATTTGAGGTTCTGCTTCCTCGTGTCTCGAGCTCGCGGGCGCCGCTTGCTAACTGGCAATTCTTGGCGCATCCCAAACTGTTGTAGAAATTTCATAAAGCACATATGTTGTGAACTAATAACAGCGATCGTTATTAAAAGCGCTCTGTCTTACGGACCCGCCCCGCTCTCCGGCTCTGCCCGTTGCCTGGACGGGCAACGAGCAGAGCCCGAAAGCGGGGCGGGTCCGTAAGAGGGTGATCGATCGAGACGCCTTTAGATAGGGTCGGCATGCAACGTTCTTTATTGTTAGCTTTAGGACAACCAGAGTGCGAGGAACGTAATTTCTTTTTAATTTTGACTTTAGTAGGGGAATATGTGGGGTAGCCGACTTCTGTCGGCCATCACGTCAAGTGACCGTTGAGTGACGGGTGGTCTCATGCCCGGTCTCGAACAATTTGAACGATTTTTTAGTTATTTGATCAGTGCACTTTAATTTGGCGAAGATCTTCCAGGATTATTGGACAGATAATAGACTTGTGGGTGTACCTCTAGTGGAGATGAGTCAAGTACGCTCGCGTCCGCGCAGAATATGGGGGTCGGACTTCCTGTTCCTTTCTGTCTTTTTGTTTTTGGCGCCTCTTTTAACTGGTGAGAGTACTCCCTTTCTCCAAGTGGGCTGGGTGTGGGCAGTGGGAAGTACTACTGACGCGGGGGGCAAATGCACTGGAAAGTTTAGCATATAGGCCGAGTTATTGCTCTGCTTTGTGCTGCATCTTCAGGGACATTTGCTGCGTTTCCCAAGGGTTAGTTATTATATGAACAGTATCTCCCTCTTCTTATGGTCAAATAAGGGCAGTGCTGCATGGCTTTTTGGATTCCTGTCCCAAGCCTGCTACTGGTTGTTAGCACTTTACTTTCCTTCTTGGCAATAAACAATTTCTGCTTGACGGGTCAGACGGGCATGGCGTAGTCCCCGTTGACGTCTTTTCCTCTAAGGACCGTGAATCGACCTTGTTATCGAATCGGCAAAGTGCTTTGAGGTGTGTTGCAGACGACGTAAGCGCTGGTGAAGCTGAAACGGTTGAACTGGAGCGTCCTGTTACGGTTGATCTTGAGCGTCCTGCAGGGGTTGAGCAGCAAAAATCACCTGCCGCTCATGACTCTAGACATGCAAGTAAGTATACATGCCCATCCATTCTTTTAGATGCGTCTTGGCCACATGTTGGTTGAGGTGTCAGTACTTTTTTGGGGCGGACCTTGAAGCGTGTGCATACGAACTGTGCGTACGATCGCCAGCGAGCTCGGACATCGTGATGAATATGTCTCGAAGTGGATTTCATTTCAGCAATATGGTTTTCCAAAAGCAACTGTGGAGCTTTTGGACGCTGTGTGGCGAGTGGTGTGCGAGCTCTTGCAGCTGGGCGCAGGGCTCCCTCCCCTGGAGTTCGGCCTTCCTCCCCTGGAATTCGGCCTTCCTCCCCTGGAGTTCGGCCTTCCTCCCCTGGAATTCGGCCTTCCGCGAGATCTCCAGCCTCTGCGGCTTCTTCGACCAAAAGTAAGTCTCTATTTCAAAAGACTGTAGGCATTTTAGAGATCTATTTGTTCAAGACCAAACAAATGTGTCTTGACTGCTAGAGGCATTCCGTGTTTCTGTTATGAGGTCACTGCCGATGTAGTTTTCCGCTCCAGTATCATCATTGCAGCGTTTGATCACTCACCTATTTGCGTTCCATCAACAGGTGGATTCAGGAAAAGTTCGCCTTCTGGGAAACTATTTGGCAGTATACATTCCCCACCATCAGCTCGCCAAGCGCTAGGGCAATTGAGAAAGCGACTAGGAGATGGCGATGCAACGATCCGTAAGCGGTTGTGTTGCTCAGTTTCCGAAATGTCGGAACAGGCTTGGCTGCTCCTTAGGGACTGATTTGTCTAACCGCAGTCATTTCATGTTTGCTTTGTGTCCTCTGACGACAGAAGTGGCTACTCTGCAACAGTGGCTGGAAGAGAAGCTTTCGGAGGGGCGCATTCCCCGTGATGAGTTGATGAAGGCGGTAATAGCAATTACAGGGGAAGGGTTGAAATTTGCAGACAAAACGGTGCCATCAACAAAGACGGACCTGCTAAGAAGAACTGCAAATCAATTGAGCATAGGACCATGTAAGGGTTCCCTTTGTTCTCACTTACCACTTGTAACGCTGCGCTGTGCCCTTTCCAGGGCACTTCGGTGTATTCCCCGTGCTTCCTCCAGTTCGTATCAAATCTGTATAGCAGTAGCTGCGTCTTGATTGTGCTTAACTCAGCGGAACTACGACGGCTAGCGCAGGAAGTGAAGCACGACCCTTCGTTGTTGACACACCAAGTGGCTCCTCCCGCTGAGTCGCCGCCGCGCTATCCTGCATACCCAAAGGATACCACGACGATCGAGACTCTGCAATCTCGCATCCCGCCGCCTATCTCGCAGGCATCAACGCCAGCGAGCATCTCTCTTGAACATCAAGAGACGCAGGAGGGAACATCAGGCGTCACTGAACAACTCAAGGTTTATCAACCGGTTGAGACCGTTGATCGAATCAAGGTTCCTGAGTCAATGGAGACCCCCAAGACTCGGAAGAGGCCCTCGTTGGAACTGAAAATACCAGTTTCGCAGGGGTCTACGTCTGAAGCCGAAGGGAAAACTGAGCTAGAGCTGCATCCTGCTCGCGAAAGTGACTGGCTGTTGGAAATAAAGGAGTTGTTAAAGGGTCCTGCGCCGCCCACACCTTCTCCACAGGTGGAGGAGGCCCCCTCGTTCTCGCCGGAAACTCAGAGCCTATTGGCATCTATACCGCCTCTGCCAGGAAAACCAATACCAGAATCCACCGAAGACCTCCTGGAATATTCTCCTTACGTTGGAGTTGCACCGCGTTGGGTGCCGTCCCTCGATGAAGACTGGATGGACCAGGGGAGTCTTAGCACTGTATCAACCACAGTGGAGTCATTGGAGGGACCATTGGATGATATTTCTAGGCAGGTAGACGCCATCATTGCAGAGTTGCAACTGCCTTCGGACTCTGAAGTGCAATTTGCATCTGAGGGAACTTCAGCAGGCCCGGTATCTGAAGCAGAGCCAACTGTGGAAGGCCCGCGGGCTTCGAGTCCGGAGAGCAAAGGGGCACCGGTGGATGAGGAGGCCACTGGGGGGATAGGAGGAAGAGAGACGGAGCCTGAAGAAGCCTCACTAAGAGATGAGGAGCCCCCCAGGGAAGGCGGGTCCCAACAGCCCCGCGGCTTCAGTGGGGAGGCAGTTCGAATTCCCGAGTCTCAGCCCGACCAGAGTGAGCCGAGCTCAATGCAGTCAGGCTCTCCGCCAAGCAGCAAGGAGGAAGTTTCCTTGGAGCTGGCGCCGCATGTGTCCAGGCCTCTGCATGCCACAGGCAGCAAGCGTGAGAGCCCAAAAGCAGTGGATATGGCGTTCAGCACGGATATCCGACAAGACCGCCCGAGACTTTGGGAAAGGACTAAGGCTGTTGCGAAGGAACACAAAACAATGCTCAAAGTGACGGGAGGGGTGGCCCTCGGGGCTCTTGCAATTGCAGGATTGATGCTATTTAACAGAAGGCTGCGCCGCCGTGTCCCTAGTTCAAGTCCTCTCATCAGCACAGTGGAGCCGAAGAAGTGCCAGGTGCTTGTTGATTTTGAAAAGGGGAGGAAATTAGAGATTATGGGGAGAGTGGCACGCATTGAAAAAGTCCATGTGAACAACACGAAAAGGACCCTGACTGTGGAATACCTGGAGAAGCCAGCCTTACGGTGCTCGCGTGGTCGCGAACTATTAAAATGGTTCAAGTACTACGGCACTTTTGGTATGTCGCTTGTCCGTCGAGTGGAAACTATACCATTTCCAGATTCGTGTATGGCTGGGCCCTACTCGAGGTTTCAAGTTGCAGAAGGAAACGGTTCCGTTTTCCGCTTACTGGTTGACCTTGAGCTGAACCCAGGGCCGCTGGCTGTCCCCAGGGAGCTGATGGAAGCCGGTCGGCTAGAGGAACTTCTTGGGAACTACGGGAACGACCCACTTTGGAAGTTATATGGCGATTGCGTTATGCACATCACGATCGACCAGCCATTTAGGGGTTCTCCCATTGTTGTGGTAGAAAGTGCTCGTGCTCGAGTAGGATTTCAAAACCCAGAGCTGAAGCACCTCAGCAGTCCGCTGCCAAGGGAGTGTGACTGGAGGCAGCCTTGGGAACTCCGTATTGCATACAAGAGTACAAATGGTGGGCCGGTGGACCTCTTATTGCTGATGAATGCAGCGGATCCGCCGTTAGAAGAAACCATAGTCCTTGAAAGAGAAGAAGGTGACGCAGCGTTAGAGGATCCCGATGACGTGTTGCAAGATATTCGCACGTTATTCGCAGAGTGAAAGTTAACCGACATTTATGGCTTTCCAGTGAGCTCTGTTCTTCTCCGGTATTGCACAGAAGTGTGCGTAGAAGTGTGCATGCGTTTGCATTGAAATGTAAGCCAGGCGGAGAGCGGTGAACTTGCTAGTGCAGCCTGTTAGAGCGCTACTGCTGGCAAATTTGCAAGCTTTCCGGGCGGCCAGGCCCGAAGCTTAGTAGTCTGAAGGCCGCCCCAATGGCAGAGTTTCATTCTATATTTGAATAACCCTTGACTGCTTTGGACTACCTATGTTTGTCCCCTACTGCGTGCTCTTAAGGCACACTGGAAGGGATCAGGCTGCAGCTTGATAGACCATTAAGGCTGATGTTTGATAAACCATTCTTTCACTGAAATCGCGTGACTGACAGTTTGTGCGCCACTGGGAAGACCAGGAATTTCAGTACTTTGAACTCACCAGTTGCCCGAGTATCTGTGCGCACAACGCTACTACTGGAAAAAGTTAATATTTCCTTTGCTGCGGCGGGCTTCGGATTTTACTGCGACGGGCAACCCGCCGTAACTGTCAGTCCTTACATTTCAGAATAAACACTGTCAATCGGCACTTCCAGCGAGTACCGGAATTTCAGCCGACGTTGGTGCAATGAGGGTACATCTAGAATCATGGCCTGCAAAAGCTGCCGCCGGGAAACAAAAATTCACGAATACACGTCTACTAGCAACCCCTAAAAGCTTCTTGTCGCTCTGCACCACGTCTGTTCTGCCCATTCCGCTTCACTTGGGTGTCTCGTCCTTGTGGAAGTCCGTATTGTGGGTGAGTTGCATCTTGCTTCGCTACTCTCGTAGTGACGAGAGCTCGAAGTATGGGTTGAAAAATGAGTCCTTATTAAAATACATTCGCGCCCCTCAAGGCGCCAGCGCGAGTCAGTATGCAAACAAGGATAGTGGCAACGCTGGTGTCCCGCAGCGATCGAAGTCGGGCACTTTTGGCACAAAAGTGTGCTTACGATAGCTGGAGAGGGTTCTTCTTGCATCCCAAAACTGACTTTCATGCATTGCCAGTTCATTGTTGCTCTCGGATGTCAGGTCTTCGGCAGTGGTTTTGTTTTCCTCCTCGCCGGCCTGCTGGTCCTCTCTCTGCTGCAACGAATCCGGCAGGTCTTCTTGCTCAGCTGTCTCCTTCGGAGTATTATCTGATGCGTTTTCATCCTCATGCCACGCATTCTGGGAGCTGCTATGCACCTTGACGAACGCATGAATGAACCTGCGATCCATGTCTAGGCTGTATATAGTGTGGTTGGCGAGCTCGAGCAATGCTGGGCGGAAGTCTCTGGTGAGAAACTCTAGCTCCTCCTGACAAAGGCAAGGAGGTAAATTTTCTTCGCGTAAAACAAAGGTGATGTCATCTTTCATGAGGCAGTATTTGTGCCGCAGCGCGCGTTGTCTCGTCAGCACTTCGGCAACTTCTTCGCTCAGTATTGGCCTGTTCTGTTCCACTTTTGCATGGAGGGCGTCGCACAACTTTCTGTACAAGGAATAATCGATTTGCCGCCTCCGACTTTGCGCTGCGAGGTAGAAGAAAATTGCAAATGCAGACTGATGGGTGCCCCTGCTGAGTGCTCTGTAGTCATTCAGACACTTGCGGATGGCTGTGATGGCCAATGGATCGGCCCCACCAAAGTCATCCTTTGTATTCACGGACTCTTCTTTAATACTGTACAGCTCTGCAAATTCCTCCTCGACCTCGGTGAGCAGGGGTAGGCGATGTTTCTTGGGATGCAACCAGCGGCGCACGCCCAGTATCCATGCGTGCAGCTTTGAGACAAACATGGCGGAGTAAATAGAAAGTGCAATTGCGAAAATTCCAAACATCCACTGACGCCGGAGTGTAACTTTGGATCCTACAGCCTCCTGTATGCTACCGGCGACCCCCGGTGGAGCAGCGCCTGTTCCAGAGGGGGAAGACGTCGAATCATAGGGGCGCGAACTCCCTGCAGACACGCTCGAGTCGGATCCTTTCTTAAGCGTTGGTAAGGCAAACCGTAGTTGGTACGCCGCGAAAAACACGGCCATCACCCCCCCCAACAAAGCCAAGGTACCGGAGAGCCACTGGCGACTCCTTCGCTCGGCTTCGGCTCGGTTACTGCGTTCGCGGAACTTAGAGAGCGAGAAAGGAAGGGCTTCATCCAAGTATGCTAGTTGGGAAGATGAGGGTGGAGAATGTTGCGTACATGGAAAGGAAGTCATTGTTTGAGGACCGCTGCGTGGGGAATCACTTCCACGACTATCGTCCTCTGACAGGCTTTCATGGAAGGGCCCGTCCGGGGATGCCTCCTTCCTCCCCACACCTAGACGAAGGTGTAGAGGTCGGCGCACCCCTGAAGTACTGTCTTTCGCTGCGGCTGTCGAGGGCGGCGACGGCCCACCTACGGGTGGAGCGATGGTTGCCGCCATGGCTCTTCTTGCTCCATGTCTTCCTTCTCTTGTCGCCCTATTCCCACCTTCCTAGAACTCCCGCCTACATACAGATGTTGCTGAAACCTTGCTGACGGAGGCAACTGCCGAAAAACACGCAGCCCCCTCGCCGAAACCACGGGTTTCGGCACGAGGCACCGAGGGGCCAGAGGACGCCTGTTCTCCTGTGAATGTCTACGCTATCGAGCTCCCCTGGGTAGAAATAAAGAGTTCAAAAACTTTTACAGTCTTTTCCTCCAGTGGGGACGGCCGATTCTGGCCTCAACAAGAAAGAGATGCACGGCGAACAGTGGCCGGGAATCTGCACCTGCATGAACAAACAGTCAGGCTTTAGCATATTTCGTAAGTTCCCTCACCACTCAAACAAGCGCAATGCAAGTATTAGGTGAATACACTGTATTGGAATTCCTCCTAAGTTTGTCTTCGCATGCCTAGATAGGATCGTGGAAGCTCCCGCTGGGGGCCCGGGGCCGCTGTCGCCTGCGGCACCTTCTGCAAACAGCAGACGTAGATTGATGCTCATGTGCAAACTTCCTCCGTGGCTAGTTCAAATTATCCAGGGAAATTTCCTAAAATGGTGGGGGCCTGACCTGAGATATATAGATATTGTTGGCGTACTGTCCAAACAAAACCAGACGCGACGTAGGCACCATCTCACTGGAGTTCCCGACGTTAGCCGACGACCCTCGTGGGCTGCAATAGAGTCAAAATAATGCACAGAAGAGTTCCCAAAAAATTAGCTGACTTAGCATCCAGTTTGGTTCCTTCCTGGGCATAGCGGCGCAAGGCCTGGGGCTGGTGCTGTGGCATGGTCTGCTATAAGTTGGTACATGAACCGTTACTTCTCCTTAGGCAGCCTTCATGCAGCAGAAGTACAGCAATTCCCTACAGAGTTAGTTCAGACGGAAAATGGGAGCTGGCTTGTGCTTGCATGCGAACTGCCTGGCATCGTTCGTCGTAACGAGGTGCACTGCAACTCATGCAAGGGCGCCTCCTCTCCGCCTCTGCGCCAGCCCCAGCCCTTGAACGGCTGTGCGCAGAGCTTCTGGGTCCTGGAGGGGAGAACAGCTTCTTCTTAGAAAGAAAACATCGCCGCAAGTCCTGTGGCTCGATTACAGCTCATGACGGTCTGCGGGTAATCTCCAGGTCTTGCAGAGTAGGCAGCGCGAGTTTTAACGCAACTCATCTTGTTTCAACTCCTGATACAAGATGACCCCACATTCAAGGATGCCCAAGCCCCCTTGTGATGCATGTACCAAGAGCGGAAATTATTAAACTCGTGCTGCTCAGTAGCCAGCTTGCACGTAAATAGGAATACACGTACGAGCTTCAGGCACGCCGTTCTACATTTGCTCTCCCCCTCTGCCCCAACCAGCACACGCTCTCGTGTGCCTGCGCTTTCAGCAAGGGGTGGGGAGAGCGAGGGAAAGGCTTTTGCCTGCCTGCCGCCGTGGGACCGCAGCAGCTCAGCAGATCAGCACCTTCGCTCTTTCCAAGGCTGATGTCATAGGAGAACTGTTCGTAAGGTGTGGTGTAGTTCTCTCTCTTCTCCTCGACCTCGACGAAGATTTCGAGGCATTCCTAGAGAAGATCCTTCTGCTGCAGGCTTCTTCTGAAGATGTTGAATGGCTGGTTCTCAGAATCGGTTACCCCTTCGGCAAAGCTTCGCCATTTGGAAATCTTGTCTTAGCATTCGTTCACAATGATCTTGCGACCTGTTGCGTTCGAGGAGAGCGCGTTTGGGCACGACGGATGGCTTGGAGCTAGAGTTGCAATTCAATACTGAAGTGCTTGGCGGCTAATTATGCTTCCCAGGCATTTGACAGTGGCGTGTACAAAAAGGCTTGTCTTCCTTCAGTCACCTGCTGGGACTCTCCCAGTCAGAGCGGTTTTTGTTTGTTCAGTTGCACCCCGTCGTCTGTAGCCTCCTTGATCTCTTTACCCTTCTTTATCTTTACCTTGTTCTCCTCCTTGCCTTCCTTCTTCTCCGCCTCCTTTCCTTTCCTCCCCAACGTTTTCTCTGTACCTCATTCGTCAGCGTTCTTTCCTTCTTCCTCTTCTGTCCTCGACACCTCGCTTAATCCGCTCCGAGAGCATCTGAAGGCCCGAAGTAAAGTGGAAGGTGTAGCCTCGCAGTTGTCTGTTGTTTGGCGCCAATATTCAAAAATGTATTCAAGAGTTAGAGGCGTTGCCGTAGACTCTCCCTCAGAGGCAAGCCATTACTCTGCGCATAGCGGGCGGCCATTTCATACTACCAGCAACCAGGTTCACAGAACGATATTTCGGTGCGGAGAAAGGAAGCCGAAGAACTACGGATCGAATACTGCACTGTTGCACTGCAAATCCATCCCTCATAAGGTGCTAAACCAAGCTATTTTGACGAATGTGACTGCGTAAAGGGTGGTGAATAGTGTACAAGCGTGCGGTTGAAGCCCCCAGTTTGACTGTGTCGGCCTCCCGCTGGTCATTTAGTGGACGGTATTAATAAGCGTGATGAATTCGCGAGAGAATGCCCTAAATGGATAGAGTTCTTCACTAAAAGCGAGGCCTTTCTGAAAGTTCATTGGCTTCGAGACGTGGGTAACGAATGCTGTCAATGAAGTCGAGCGGGGGATGAATTAGGCATGGTTATGGAGCATGTATACGAGGCCACAAATGCTATCATAGCATCCGAATAGTGGTAAATTCTATCAGTTGGCATATATCTCCAGACTCAATAGGAATCCTAAGACTCTACAGGAGTGTAGATTTGAGAATCTTTTGCGGCTTTAGCTACCGGCACTCCGAACAAGCAAAGGTACACTCCACGAGGGCGGCATCCTACGCCAGCACAAGGAACTGGCCAACCGCTTCCGCCATCACCAGAGTGGTTAGGCAGAGCAAAGTGGTGCATTTTGCGCACGACGTCTGTGCGAGGCGACGCTAGAACGTTTAATCGGCGGAGTGCACGCTTCGTCTGGTACCACAGAAGTTCTCCTTCTATGTTGTAGTGCAAAACACGGCATCCTTGGTTGAGCTTGGCAGGAACGGAAGTAGTGTGAAAGTGAAGGGAATAAGAATAATGCAATTCAGGAAGGAAACAGGAATCACCGATGATATGTGCAATCCTGGAGAAAAGTGCCTGACCCGTGGCTTCCGGAGAGTGCGCCAGCGACCAGGTTGGTGCCCATGGTATTCTTGACAATGATGTAGTTCTGCTTTCGACGGCAGCCTCCCCACCCAACTCTTTCGATATCGAAATCTTGAAAACCCTGCCTCACGTGTGTGCCAAAGACTGGATATCAATTTGATCAAAGAAATGCCCACCGTGTATGCAGCGTCGACCTTTCCTAACTTCCCACGAGAGCGTTTAGAGCTCCAAACATACCGGATACTTTTGTTTTCTTTCCGTGAAAATGATGTAAATAGCCGGCAATTACTTATTGCTTCTCTCAAACCACCAGCTTGCCTAGGGAGCACCATGGAATGCCAGTATGTTAGTGGCATCGCATGGCTTATCCAAATCGGTAAGCGCAAGCAGTGGGGAAAATGTCAGGCACCTGACGCGTCGTATAGGGCCTTGTTCTTCGGCTTTCGTCCAAACAATTTCCTTGCATTACTTGCGTTACTTGGGTAGATCCGTTAGAGGGGAGGCCAAGCATGCAAGTGGAAGGAGCAAGCGGGAAAATCCAAATGGCCTCTACCTCAGCCGAAACTGGTTCAACTTCTGCTGTCCCTACAGCAGATGTTGAACCGAGGCAAATCATTGCTTGCAGGAAAAGCGAATCTTTTTTAACTATCGCTACTCGCGTAGCAATACGGTGGACACTGCATGCTCTACAAATCCTCCTGATCCTGTTGGCTGAACATAAGCATGTTGCTCTTACAGATAACTATCCATCCCTCATTGATTTGGCCAATGAAATCATGATTGAGCGTTCATTGCATTTTTGCTAAAGCATTGATGAACCCAAGACCCATACTTTTGTATGGGTCTTGGGTTCATCAGTGCCCTAGCAACTAACTTGCGGATGCGGAGATGGGCAACAGTATTGTGCTGGTCATCAGGATGCACTTGCATGCAAAAGCCCTGCGGCGAAGCCAACAAAAAAGCATGTTTGTGGACCCTGCAAGGGGTGTAAAAGTTCGTCAATTGTGGTCATGGGAAACTTTTACTTAATCGCGATTTTATTGAGGACACCTGCAGTCGTTTTTATTCAGTAGTGCAGGATTGTCTCCGAACGAACTGGTTGATTAAATCTGCCTTTTCTTAGCAGTGTGTCCGATCCCCGCTCGAGAAGATCTTCCCGGGATCACCCGTACCTGAGTTCTCGCGTGTTGTTCTGAACCGTGGGATGCCTTTTACCTTCAAGAATCCTTGACTTCAAATAAGGACTACTGTGTGCTTTGCAGCTCGCAGCGGTCCCCATTTTCAAAACATTTATGTGATCCACACAGCAGCTAGCCTCCATCCACGATCGGAGCACTCTGGACACAAACGTTCAAATTCCTGCGCTACTGAGGAGAGTAGACCCCATTTCGTGAGTTGCAGCGCACCTTGCTGCAACACTTGCTGCGCGTCCACCCCACGTACAACCCTACCTTAGGCCGTTTCGATGTGTTTATTAATACTTTGAATAGTTCTTAAACACTACTTGTTCCTCAGCAGCCAGCGTGTGCGCCGACTTGAATACGCGCACCAACTTCACACAGAACATGTTGCAAGCTAGGCGCTGCAAGGCATCTCGACAAGCAACCACGTCCTAAGCCCACTTTGCTGCACGCACTAACAGCGTCAATAGTTGATAAGCACTTCCTTGGTCGTTAATGGCCAGCCTACACACAAATACTGATGCATCCAAAAGCCTCTAACTGCCCGCGGTACTACTCGATTGCCGGAAGCCGTCGTCCTCGTCAAACGTGGTAGTGACAGGCGGGAAGAATTCACAGGAACCTCCATTAATAAGCCTACGGTAATAATTTGAATGTTTTTGAACAGTCAAAATTTTTTTGGTAAAGAATTCAGCAAATTTAAGGACCCCTTTCGTGCTGTGGGGCTTGTGAAAAGCCCGTCGGAGGGGGCTGCACCGCTTCACAGGGGGCTGCCGTGGGAAAGCGCCGGTGTTGCCCTTCTGCGTGAGACCAGCGTATGATTACCTGAGATTTTCAGGTGTTTCCAGGCATTGAGAACTTGCCACTTATACGAAAGAAATTGAAAAAATGGTCAAACTGTGAGTCGTCCAGCCCCTGATCCACAAGCGCGCATGAAGAATGGTCGTGTGGGGGAGGGTAACATTTTGTTTTCCGGCTTCTTTTCCTTTCTAATCCGCCATGTTTATTGAATGGAAAAGCATTGTTGTGGTTAGGTTGAAAGAAAGGCTGCCTCCCGTGGGCCCGCGTGTTCTGCTGTGTGGGGGTTCCATGGGCCGGTTTGAAATTGTGCGGGTACAACTGCATTAGAACGCGTAGACGAGGGGTAGTAATGCATCCTTGGTGGAGTCGGGACATGTCAACTTAGAAAGAAAGGGGAGGAGCGGGGAAGGGGGTTTGCTGCGGATGGTGTTTACAACAACTCTCCGTCCCCGCGTGAAGTATCTGCATGTCTCCATTCAAAGGAGCGCAGGCCTCCTCTGCTGTGGCCAGCCGCTCTGTAATTGCGTGGCGATTCGTGGGAGCATTTGCCCTAGAAGCGCGCACTGCTCACGTAGCTGGCTGTAGTGCGTTTGATTCTTTTTCTTCTTTATGCTGCAGACTCAAGCCTGGGCGCTTGGTGGTGGTCCTGAACGGCCGCATGGCCGGTAAGAAGGGTATTGTGGTGAGCACCTCGGAGGGCACGAAGGAGCGTCATTTCTGCTACTGTTTGGTGGCGGGAATTGAGAAGGCCCCTCTCCGAGTTTCCAAACGCATGAGCGCCACTAAAGTCCAGAAGCGCATGCGTCCTAAGGCCTTCATCCGCTACGTTAACGTCCGTCACCTAATGCCCACTAGGTGAGGAGAGGAGAGAGTTCGGGAGTTCCTGCGCGTCGTTTGTGCGCGAGCCATGCCAGGCCGTCTATGGCATTTCTGCTTTGAAGCTGCCCTATACCGATATTGCGTTCTTTTCCGCTGATGTTGTTACAGGTACACTGTCAGCAATGATTTTGACGTCAAGACCCTCGTTCCCGATGCTGCTTTGGAAGACAGCGCCTCACGCAAGGCTGCGAAGAAGGCTCTGGCTAGCATCTTCTATGAAAAGTTCATGAATCCTATCAACGAGAAGGCTGGCAAGGTCTCAAAGGACGTTCTCTTCCTCCGGAAGAAACTCAGGTTCTAATTCAGAGTTTTTTCCTGTCTTATTTGTGGAGGGGATGGTGAGGAAGATGCTGAGAAGAAACACTTGAAGTGTTTCTGCTCAAAATGACGAGCTGAAGGCGCGCCTGGCGGTTGAAGGGGTGCGCGTTTCGGCGAACTCGGGGGCCAGCCCCCATAAGTCATAATGAACTTTAAGACATCTGTGCTGGGTTTTTGCTGTTCGGTTTGTACTCATAGTTGGTTGCTGCCGTAGTGTATCAGTTGCATTAGGTGGGGTTAGGTATTTCCGGGCTTCTCGGAATCAAATAGGAGCACTGGAGCTTCACTTAGAGGGTGCATTCTTTAGAAGATGCGGTGGCGAATATATATATATATATATACATGTATATATATATGTATATATATACATATATATATATGTATATATATATATATATATATATATATATAGGAAGCTGCTAAGGGAGGTGGTTCATCTTACACGTCATAGCATAGAAGACTCACTCGAGAGCTCACGTGCCTCGACGGTACTTTGTTCACGTGCGCCCGAGCTGCCAGTTGCTTGATTGATACAACTAGATAAAAGCACTCAAGCTGGCCTACCACTGTTGTGCACTCGATGAACCCACCTTTGAGATGGGTAAATACTACAAAGTACATGCCAGGTGCACTTCGATTACCTTGGAACGTGCAGAGGTGTGGTAGGTGAGAGGGGAAGCGCTCTGCACTTCAGACAAATGAAAGACCTAGGGAGTTGCTTCTTTTTTCCCCGGGGGCCCCAGAACACTACTTCTAGGCGCGGGTGGGCGAGGGTGGGAGTGGTCACTTGAGCCGCCGAGAGTCCGCAGCGTGGCAGTTTTATTAGGGAATCATAGGGGATTTTGATTTACAAAGAAGCGGCTGCATCATCTCAATGAAAATGGAGGTTTTTTTATGAGAACAAGCAGCCGCATGGCAAATGTGTTTATCCTTGAGGTGGCACCACAACCCCACACACACCCTCTAGACATGCACGGGCGGGATTTTTGATATAGTGGGCATCTCAGCCAAATTTCTCTACAAATTCGTTTCCTATAACTATTCGACAAAGCGATAAGCAAACTTTACGGTCATTTGACTGCCAGAGTCACTAACACCGACAGCCGCGGCCGAGCCACCCACTGCTCAAATCATTTCGTTGAAACTGCTGCACCTTCGCATCTCTTATTATGGTCTTCTCCACGATGAATCAATAGAGGGTCTTCTTGCCCGGGGACCGACTGAGCTGGTACATTGCCGCAAGCCTTCTTGGCATTCACCCCCAGCGGCTGCCGCCATTGTAAGCAGTAAGGAAACGCAATCTCGCAAACATGGCGCCTAAAACGGAGCGTCCTCCCGTTCCTAACCCTTATGCAATTGACTACGCTCCCACAGATCGGGCCACCTGCAAGGTTCGCGAGCAAACATCCCTTCCAGTCACAGTCGGTTACTTGCCGTATCCCGTATTGGTTCCCTCTGCACAGTCATTATAAAAAGAATTTACGCTGCTCTACACGACCAGATATGCATCAGTAAGGGACCTTTCGTGTGTGCAGGGGTGTGATGGGCGCATCGGTCTGGATTCGCTGCGCTTTATACGAAAGGTGTGGAGCCGCTTCCATGATGGCTTCGACGAGTTGAAATACCACTTGCGTTGTGGCAAGAAGTTCACAGATAACCTCGAGGAAATCAGATGTAGGCGGAAGAGATGTGTAGCGATACACAGAGGATTCCTTGTCGCTTATGTCCGCTACAACCCTAAGCCTCCGGAAGGGTTTGGCGTCCAGACACGAGCGAGAATGCCAGCACCATACCAGCACGAACTGTCGCATCTCTGGTGTTCTGCACTGTCTATGCTATAGTATGGCAGGCTCTGCGTTGGAGCGACATTCTTCGAGTGGCAAAAAGCTTTAACACAACTATCGACGAGGAGCAGTGAGCGTTCCTCGTTGCCCGCATATCGGACCCCAAAATATATGCACTGCACTGCATTTGTATTCTTACTTCCTCGCACTACTTCACCGTCACGCGTTGTGGTTGTTTGCGTCTTTTACTGAACTGCAAACCGTTGTTTTGTTTGCGGTTTCCACAGCCCCGCAGTTCAGGCTGTGAAGAGACGCAGCGATGCGATCTGGAGTCTCAAAGCCTTGCTTGTGGTAGGCATTCACCTGCGCTGATACCACTAAGCTAGGCTGTGGCTGCAGATGCTGCTGCAGTGAAGTAGGTCTACCAGTTGCTTATCCAAGGTTTCTTCAGCCATGCTGTGCCCACTGTGCTGGCAGGAAATCCCGAAGAAGCAGCTGCTTCCAATTCTGGATGCCAATGGAATCCCCTACAACGAGAAAAAAATATCGGTGATTCGAAGATAGTGCTTGGCTCGTAGATAAACAGGTGTTCTGTCTGGTCGTTCTCTTGGGACACCTTCGAGGTGTGCATTAGTAGATATCGTCGGTGCATGAGCTGTTTTCAGGTTGGCGAGGCAGCGCATATCGTTGCGGATGGGTTTATGTTTGGGAGATTCCCTCCCTGCCCGATCTGCGGGAACTCTGCACTCGTTCAAGTAAGTGGCAATGCACAAAGTTAGTCGCTGCAAAACTCACATGAAGCATACTGAAAAACATGTAGAGACAGGTGCGAAGAGCTTGTTCAAGTAGTTGTGTCTCTCAGAAGTCCAAATTTCACTTTCGGATTTTGGGAGACTAAAATACACCTATGTTGGGAAAATAGAGAAGTGCTGATTCGATGCAGTACGGGGGCGAAATTCGCTGCAAGGGCTATGTATCAGCAACTACGAAGTGCATCTTCTCGTTCATCGTGTCGGATATACTGAGGCCAGATGAAGCCTGTGACAATTCTGCAACTGGTGTTTCTTTTGAAGAGCTCAAACGGAAGGAGCTCTTCGTGCTTCCGGTGTGTCTGTTTTACAGTTCCAATGGCTGAACGATAGTTGCCACCAGTCAGTGCCTGCCGCAGCCATGTGCGCACTGAAGTGCAACCGTGAATGCGCTGGGAGGATTTGTGTGCGTGTTCGTATTTCTTGACGGATGATCAGGATGAGGCAAAGCGAATTCCTGTGTTTAAGAAGTGGAAGTGTCCTGAAGGCGTAGAGGGCTGTATGGAGCTTGGCAATCCACTAAGTCAGTCCAAACACTACCCAGAAGTAGCTTACTGAAAACTACCAGGAGACGGATACGAAGGGCTTTCTCATGTATTGGTGGCACTATTGTTTGTATGTTCACGTGAGGGTTGAGGCTGCTTCAGGCGCTCCGTCCCCCAAGGCGTAAGGCCCCAAACGGAACTGCTGATTGCAAGAAGAAATTCCAGTACACGGTTGTTAGTAGGGAATGGCCTTCAAGCTAGAAAACGCTACTGTTGTTACTACTGTTGTTTTGTCGGGACCTGGAGATGGCCTGGAGAATCGTGCCATCATCTGGTATTTGGCATGCTCTACGTGCAGACCCAAGAATGAACAAAGTTCTAGCGAGCCTGAGGCCATCCCTCCTGGCAAGGAACTCGTGGGGCTTAGCTTTACATCAGTAGGCGCTACCGATCCTCCAAAGTGAGAATGCTTCAAAGTCTCGCAGTTCTGCAAGGAGCTCATGCCAATTTCCTGGGGGACACCTCTGCCTCTGCGGCTGTAGAATGTGTTGATTGAGTTCGGCAGTTCGTTGAGTTGTTTCGACTGTTGCCGACAGTATCCTGCTTTAAGCGCCTTTGACACCTCAACCTCCTGCTCGCATTCTGCTGCCCCTTTCTACATGGCCGTTTACAATGTGACTGTGATTTCAGAGCGGAGCTTCAACTCTTGATCGAGAAACACGCCGGAGAATACACGTGAGACAGCTGCTAACTTCCCTTTGTCATACTAGGCAGCCTCCAGCTCTTGCCCCAAGACGCTGCTCGCTGGGGTGGCTGTCTCGACCTACGTCGTGTTGCAGCAATTCAGAATTTCGCTTTAAGCTCTGTGCTGCGGTAAATCCGTGGTCTGTGAATATTGCTGCTTTCACTGAGCTAGCTGACTTGTTGCACCTCCCATCGTGGTTTTCCTGGTGTGCTATGCTGTCCTGGGCTGCCTTGTGCTAGCGAGCAACCCGAAGGGCGCACAACATTCCTCTTGGTTGGAGACGGGGACAGTCACGAGTTCACGAAAAAATATCGCGATGCAAAAGCTGCGGGCGTCCCTATTGTGCATGTGAGTCACATGATGGTGGCAAAAGCATGGGATGTTTTATCGTTTTGTCCCGAATACTTGTGTTGGCACAACGGGGTGGAGAGTCGCACTCTCATTAAGCCATGCGTCCGAGGAGTAAATGGGCCCACCCCTAGAAACAGAACGAGCAAAGGTGCATTTCTGTAAGAATGTGAAAGAAGCAGTGGCACACGCCGTCCTTCCTGGTGTGAGTCTGGAGTGGAGCCAGGTGCATATGACGACTGTTGGTGTCTAGATGATTTCTTGCGTTCAGTGCTCGTTCGTGAAAGCCTTAATCCGGCGAAAAAATGTCGAGCCGAAGCTGAAGTTGGCGGAGTGCCGCAAATGGAAGGGCTTGGATGACGGCCCCGATCCTCGGCCGATGGTAAGCTTCGCGGGCTGTCAATAGCGTCTTCTTTTTAAGCTCGCGAGAAGCAATTTTCTTTCACGTGGGTTACGCGCAACAGGGGAGGGCAGTTTCTTTTGGTGCTGCACCTCAGGGTCTACTATTACGGAAAAAAAAGTATGCACAGTATTATCTCGTGGAGGGAAAGCTTACACTCGAGTTACCAAGTGCGGCCGAATCTCTCAAGCAGCTTCGCGAAGCTCGCGCAAAGGACAAGTCTCGAACGAAGCGTCCACCTATTGCAAAGGGCTCTCCGCTTTTGCAGGTATGGCTCGCGTGCCCTTAGTGCTGTGGCATAACGCTGGCGGGCTAACGAATGTAGGGGCTTCAGCAAGGTGCTGACAAGACGGAGGCATTTTATGACACGGGGATGCTCTCTATAAAGAAGATAAACAAACTGACAGGCGAAAACAGAAGGGCCTGTGGCCATCTGCTGTGCGAAAGACCCCGCGTTGCTTGCGTGTGAAGTGGGCGCTCTAGGTGGACCCGCTATTCAGTAACAAAGGGGGCCAAATTTACGTTGACCAGTATGGAAATGCCTTCAATTGCTGCACACAGTTTACTGACATAAGCACAGGTCAGTAACTTTCAGGCTTTTTGCTGGCTGTCTCAATTACTGGTAATTCGTCTCGTCCTCCGTGCAAGGAACCGTTGTTGGCTCTGCATTGAGGTGTTCAGGCATTAACAAGTATTATTCCATGCAGATCGTGCAAACTAACAAGACCTATCACTTCTTCACGAAGTGGGGTCGGCTTGGGGCTGATGATAAATTAACTAACGACTACAAGTACGGCGAAGCTACGCATCACCCTCAAGCCCGAAACATTTTATGCTCAGTGCACTACTTGTGGATAAGCCCGGAATCATTATCGCTTAAGTACCATTATTCAGCCTTGGTTCAGTCTGTGTGCTGCCTTCCCTGTTACATACTCTGCGCTCCAGACAACAGTCATTTGGCCAGGACGTGGATGCCGCAGTTGGTAAGTTGACGGCTCAGCAGCTTTATACTTCGTGTTGCCTAGCAGAATCATTTCCTCTTCGTCGATTTGCCGTTAACGGGAAGTTTCGAAATTCGGCTATTTATGTGTCGCCCGTAGACGCATTTGAGTCCAAGTTCATGGGACTGACAGGTACCCAATGGAGTGACCGTTTCAACTTCGTTCAGCAACCTGGCAGGTGAGTTTGTTTCCCTATGTACCCAAAGCTGTCTGTGCGGGAATTTCCCAAGTGCCAAGCCGTCGGCATTAGCGGATGTGACATTTTCGCTAGTGCAAATGCGTCTCGCCTGCGCAGGTATGGTTTTGTGGAACTCGCGGGCTATGAAGTTGAAGATGGGGCAACGCAGGAGCCAAAGCTAAAGCGGGCTAAGCTTGAAGCTGCCAGGTAATGCGCGTAATATGAGGCAGGGGCTGTTCAGTTGCTAGATCCTTGTGGCTGTCGCTTTTGCGGCTGTCACTGTGGGTCCAATACTTTGGCGCCTCTTGTACGCCGGTTTTTTCTTTCAGCATGCCTGCGAATAGTTCCTGCGTGTCTAATGCAGCGCCAGCAGCACCGTGGCTGAATGCACTCTACCCCCAGCGGTGAAAACGATCGTGGAGCTCATTTTTGACCGTATGTCCCTGCGCATGCCCGGAATGTTGGCGCATCTGCCCTAGCCTAATCAGAATAAGAAGGTTTTCGGTGGTGGCGCTGGCAAACTGGGTTGTTTGGGAGTCACATCATGTTGTTCCACAGGCAAACTGGCGGAGAAGTTGCTCACCGAACAGCACCTCAACCTTCAGAAGCTCCCCATCGATTCCATTTCCAAGCGTCAGCTGCAAGAGGGCTATGCAGTTCTTCAGGTACTGCTAGGCCCCTAAACGGCCTCACGCTTCCTCTTCACGAGACTTTGTGAAGCCCAGTACCCAGGGACGAATACAGGGCATTGCTTTTTACCTTATGCCTACGCTTAGGAAATTCAAAATCTCCTCCGCGAGGACTCGGAGAAAATTAACACACTTAAACATCAGTGAGCAGACCTGGCGCTTCTTTTCCATTGCAGTTCAATGAAATTTGAAAAGTTGGCTGGATTTAGCGCGGATCCACGCGAAAAATGGACTGCATTGTGTGCAAATAGGACGCGGCTAGCGGATGCGACGAACCGGTTCTACATCAAAATACCTCACATCGTAAGCGCATAATTGCATCTCGTGGGCGGTCCTTCGTTGTCAATGGAAGCTGGCCAAATGACTTTCGTACAAGAAAATGGGAGCCTCCTTCAGTGCACTATATATATATGTATATATATTTATGAGGAGCAACCTTGTCTGTTTTTGTGGTTATCCTGCAGTTCAGTCATGCCGAAAAGCCTCCAGTTCTTGACTCACTGGCAAAGTTGAGAACCAAGATCGAAATGATGGAGCAACTGTTAGAGGTGCGACTCTAGCTAATTCTTAAATCCTGATGGCACAGAAATTAGGGCTCAACCGACGCATGGCTAACTGCACAGTTTGAACGGTTCTCTTTTGGGTGCCAGAACTTTGGTGATTTACCCCTCCCAGCCCGTCCTCATCCCTCTCTTGTCGTCTTGCAGATATCGATTGCGCAATCTTTGTTGACGGATGCTATGCTAAACGCCAGAGACAAGCACCCACTGGATGCTCAGTACGAGCAGCTGCGCTGCAAACTTGAGGTACACGATTGTCTCTGAGTTGTCTAATTGCAGAGAACTATTCTCCTGCTTTCCTAGGCCTTGCACGCGATGCTGTACTGTTACGCCTGAGAGAAGGCTCCGTTAGGGAGCTTTGCTATGCCCCCATGTACAGAAAATTCTCACCCCATGTTAAATCCCCGCTTCAAACGTGCGTGTAAGCGCGCTGCAACTTTTGCTGATTGCTTTATTTAGCCACTTCCTGAAAACCATGAAGAACGAAAACTGGTGGAGCGACTTGTATCCGACACCCACGCACCGACCCACAATACGTGGAAGCTCAAGATCCAGAGTGTCTTAAAGTGCGATCGCCAAGGTGAAACGGAACGCTTCAACAAGGACGTGGACAACCGCATGCTCTTGTGGCACGGTTCCCGTTTGGTAAGCCTCTTGATTTCCCAGTTCTGTGTGAGCCCTTGTACGAGCAATACACCCTCATGCAAAGCGGATTATGTGATTGGCGACAGAGCGCCATGGGTTCGGGGTTTTTCCTTGGCTGGGGGTCAGCTTCTTCGCTATGTAGTCATGCCACTGGTTCCCCTTGTGCGAGCCGTTTTGGGCTGTTTTAGTTCGCCATCTGAGTAACTGCTGTCGGAGATTGAGCCCTGTGCGGCGCAGACAAACTGGCCAAGTATTCTCGCGAAAGGCCTGCAAGTTGCTCCCCCAGAGGCGCCGTCGTCCGGATACATGTTTGATAAGGGGATTTATTTTGCCGACATGGTAGGTTCTATGGTTCGTTTCTGGCAAAGAACTCCTTATTCGGGCCTTGTGTGTGGGAAAGCAAGCTTTAGTAAGGTGACCCCCACGAGCCGTTGCGACGCAGGTTAGCAAATCGTCGCAGTACTGCTTCGCGTCTTCCCTTCAACCGCATGGCCTCCTAGTCCTTTGTGAGGCGGCACTGGGGAGGCAGCGTCAGCTCCTTGAGGCAGACTATGAAGCGGCTGCCAAGTGCAAAAGTGATGGTAAGTGAACTGCGGCTAAACAAGCATCTTCCTTTGCATTGCAGGCTCGACGGCATTTCTGCTACAATCTTCGTTGGAGCTTGTGTTTGTTGCAGGGCAAGACAGCGTGCACGGGGTGGGCCGCATGTGCCCGAATCCCGACTCTGACTTCGAGATTCCTTCTGTCATTGATGGAAAGCCGGTGCGCGTTTGCGGAGGAAAGAGCTGGAACAATACAAAGGCTGTCGAAGAGGTAGGAGGGAATCATCACGAATTACACAACACAGACTTCCAGTTGAAACCTAATGCGCAGCACTGAGGGATTCGTGTTTTAATAACAGCTGAGAGTGAAACATGCAGTGACGTCCCACCTATGTGCACATGAACTATTCTGCCGTGAGAATGGCTTTCAAGTGAAGGCATTGTGCATGCTAATTACACAGCTGAAGGCCAACACGCCCGGGAGTCCTGAGGCGGCCCTAATGTATAACGAATACGTCATTTACGACCCGGTAAGCTCCAGCATCATGCGCCCACCCTTGCATTTCCCTCTGCACATTGTGATAACGTACCCATTTCAGATATAGTATACAGTAAATATATTTACTGTTTACTACCTTGGTGACCGTGTGCGGCTATGCATGCGAAAATTGCCACAGCGTCAGATCAAGATTCGCTACCTGATTCACGTTGAATTCGAGTTTGCGTCGTTTGACCTGGATTCCATCTGAGCTGAACGTGCGGCCGCACCAAATGATGCTCAGCACTTCCTCCTGCACAGCTGTTGCATATGTGACGCCTGCCAGAGAGCCACGGGTATGCGAGAGTTTCTGTATTGCTTTGTCTAACTGTTTCAAAAGGCTCCCTGCAGTAGTAGTACACCTTTGACCCGTGCCGTTGGAAGCCAGGGGAGGTGCTTCACGGGGTGGAGCACTGCAGGAAGACCTTTCCTTGTCAAAACAAGCTAGCAAAGAATGCTGCACAAGCGTCAAGTTTTTGCGCGAGAAGGCGCGTTGCATGGCAACACCACTACTGTCAATTGTGGCGTAAGCACGCCTTAGTATAGCACCACATCCTGCTTTTCACTAGAGCAAAAAGCCAGTTGTCTGTGAGTTGAAGTCGGATTGGCAGCAGGAACATAGCAGTGAAAGCCCAGTATCGGGGCATCGCAGGTCAGACTAAAACAAAATAAGAGTACTGTCCAGAAGAGAAGGTCGATGGGTAGATAGAAGATATTTGACGCAATGCGTTGCAACAGCTTCAACTGACTGCTGCTGCGCGTGTTTGGTCCCTTCCACAGCAGGAATGTTCACATAAAGGGCATGATGTGAAGCTGGTGACTTGGCACTAGCTTAAGTTACGTAAGAGCGCAGTCACCTGAGCACTGCTAATCCTAAATTGCCCTGTTGCGTACTTCCCCTCCTTGACGCATATAAGCCACAAGGTCAGAACGCAATTCGCGGATCGGACTTCAACTTAATCATATCGGACTGGGTGTGGAAATTCAACACTTTGAGCTTGCTCTTGATTGCGCTGATTCTCAACTGATTCGTTTGCGACTGGTGACACAGGTCGCGGTAGATGGTCAACAGATGCCGCCGCAACTGCGGGTCCCGTCCTAGATATGGTTGACGGCGAACCTGCAACAGACATCGCCTGCATGTCGAAGCTGCATATTACTACATTTTCAGGCTAAAACACGAGCCCAGAATAAACAAGGGAACTTCAATACGCAGAGCTATGAAGACAGGCCATAGCAGTAGGGGTAAAAGCTGCAGGGGGAATGGCTCTCGCAGACAAACCTGCGGGTAAGTCGTGTACTCCCATTCTCGCAGGTCGGGGTTTTCACACTCGCGCTCGAGCTGGTCAGCTATCGTATTCAGCCTTGTGGAAGCAGCGGTGCACTTGGAACGTAAATCTCCTAGTAACTCATTTATCTGGCCTCCATGAGCTTCTTCCAGCGAGCGACCCAAGAGGTTTTCACAGCCTTTCATCTCAGGGGATGCCTTCTGTCCGGGCAGCTGCGAAATCCCGTAAAACGTTTTCTGTGCCGCAGTAAGATCCGTGTCTGCTGGATCTTTCGTGCCTGAAGTTGTGACAAACAACAAGTACAATGGACACTGACGAGCTCATACGGAATGCCAGATACCTTCGAGAAATATGAGCGCTGTCATCTAACACGGCTCACTTTACTAACCCAGTGCATGCAAAAATCTATATGCAGTACTACAAGTGCAGCAGCACCTGGGTGTGTTCACTATGCATGCCCAGTAGTACATGACCAACCTTTTCCTCCTTCTTCCAAAAAGTCTACGCATGTATTTGGTGGTGGGAATGCAATGAACGGTTGCTTTCTTCTACGGCTGTGGGCAGCGCCTGCAGGTTGAAATCGCCCTGTTTGCACAGTGTTCGAGAACAACGGTGCCGCTAGCAAGTCAAGTCTTTCTTCAATGGACCTTCCGGGTTGTGAATATAGGCGGCTATAGTAACTGAGAATGGCGGACTTAAGTCCATCCAAGTTCTGTCGTATCTCACCCACAACAATCTGTTCGGGTGCCCGCCGGCGCACCAGACCACTGCTGGGGTCAGTGCTGCTCGAGCCTTGCTCTGGTAGCTCGTGTGAGGGCCCTATATCGGTTCCAGGCAGCGGAGGTTGCGGGGAGACCAAAGGCTGCTGAGAACCCTCGGGTGCGCGAGCGTCCATCGTGGTGCCGTCCTGATGTGCTGACAGCACTGGCTTGCCGCTCCACGCCGCCTTGTTTGAGGTCGTACTACCTCAACCCACAGCTACCACTGCTAGTTCCTTGATTAAACCCAACCTGTGGGAAGGTTCAACCACCTGCTCGTCATATGTTGCACAGCGCAATCGGCGTGCTCTGTTTGGGTCCACCGGGAGGTCGCCAACTGCTTCGGAACGATGTTGCCGCATAAAAGCTTAGGAACAATGCACTTTAATTATATTTAGAGTACTTCCATCTACGCAGAGAGAAGATGAGCTGGGAGAAGCTGGCGGACACGGCGCACCAATCTCATCAGCGTCTCAGCGGGCCGCCTGAGTCTGGCTCAGCTGACACTGGAACTCAGCATGGCGGTGCTGCAGTCCTAAGAGGAAGGAAAGACCACAGCGAAATGTCAAACGTGTTTATTCTCTCAACACCAGGCTGTGGAGCTTCTTTTGGACGTATGCAGACGCACATCGGCATGGGCAGCAGCTCACGGCTGCATGGCCTTGGCTGGCCAGCAATCGATGCCGACACGCAAAGCTGAAACAATACCAAATAAGTGCTCTTTTCTTGGTCCTGTCTAGCAGTAGAGTTATACTCGCATCTTGATAATGTTAACTCATTTGGGTTTTACACACTGCTGAGGAAGGGGATCCCAACAGAGCCAAACTCAGCTGAGACTGGGGAGCCTGGGGTGATCGGGACAGCGCGCATTTTCGGAATGTTTCATAAATTGTGGGCGGTGTAGCCTGTTTCGCCTTCTTTAAAGAAGATAAGGAAGAATTGCCTTCCGTCTAATTGCAACAACCGGGGTGGTGGTCTTGACCGTTACATTGTGTTGTGCTGCGGGATGTCCACAGACAGTGGTGACTGTCTGTAAGCAGAGCTTAGTGCTTTGGTTAGGAATTTGTGTCAGTTCTTGAATAATTTGATTTTGAACGCGACACTCTTCTGGATACCATTCTTAGGTCACTGCTAACTGCTGGAGCATAGCGGTCGTGGTGACGGCCGTCACAGGCCGCATGTCGTAGCTGACTTCCTCTATTTGTTGTATGCTGTACGCATGCACTAAAATCTCATTTGACTCATGGGTGTGCCTCGAGCTTCATAGTAGATTTTAGACTGCTTGTTTCATCTAAAACGAATGTACAACAGACTGAACAAAAGCGGAGGTCACGCATCGGGAGCGTCTCGGCGACTCTTGCTGCTCTGAACTTCGGGGCCCGTTCAGGCCAAAGAGCGGAGCATTACGCTGTCCCTATTCCCAAAAACACGGTGGGTGAGAGCTCATGGTGGAGATTTCATGCTCATAGTTGACTGTGTGGTGAACAAGCAAGCTCTCGACAACCGCCGAACCGTGGAAGACAACCGCACCCGGGCGCGGGGGGTATACACCTGCACCAGTTTTTCTTGCGACAAAAGAAGAAACGAGTAATTCATGAAATAGCCAGACGGTTTTTCGGGGAGTGAAGTTTCAATGGGATCAAGGGTCGTCCCTCAGGGACCAGGGCTGGGCAATTTCAAATGCAGGATCTCTGACTCGGATATCTTGCCAGTGAAAAAGCGAAATGCAGAACGTGAATAAATACCACAGCTTAGGGGATCGCTTAGGGGTTGTGCGGCTGGCACTTGGAAGTACAAAGAGGAGGCTGCAAAGTGCTGATGCAGCCTTAGGTGTCAAACTGCTTAACGTGCCTCTTGCGGAGCTTGCAATAGTAAGGCTTCCCCTAGCATCGAGCGGGCCGATGCGGTTCTGTTTCCACAGTCGTCAGGACTTACGCTGGCTACTATTCTCGAATATAAGTGATACGGATGGTGCAGTTTGGTGTGTTGTGGTGTGGTGAATCCTCAACAGCATTACCACGAAACTCAGCTTTTCATCCAGGAAGCCATCGGCCATGTTGCAAATGCATTTGCGGTCGACCCGCAAAGAGTTGTGCCTTTACAGTTGAGGCCTGACGAACGCGAACCAACGAAGTGCACAATTTGGACATTCACGTAGGTCCATTTGAACATGGGTCAGCACCTACAGAGAATATATTTTATTTGCTTCCCGACGAAGGGTTAACAGCGTACTGTATCTTGAATAGCTAGGAGAGCATTATTGGACAAGTCATCTAAGCTTACACTTTTGTGGAAATCCATATATATACATATATCTATTATGTCTGTATATATATCCCTTGCTGGTGGATCTCTGGCCAGGAACGAAATTCCGTGACGTTCCGCTAAGGCTGTTGCCTGCGTTTTGACTTTTCCAGGATCCGAGGCATTCCGTTTCATGATCTCTTGGGTCAAATGAGAGAAATGTTCGAACACTCCAAAGTTGCATTTGGAGAATGGCGCTTCGGAAGCAGAAAGGTCCACACGCGTAACAGCGAAAGCATCTAAAGTGTTCAGAAACCGCATACAGCCTGGATGCAAGCCAAAAGAAGCTTACACCTTCTAAATCTTTTCGTTTGCCTTTTGGCGCAGGTAGAACTGGAACCCCTAATCCTCGGCGTACCAGGGGTTCTTTCCAACGTCTCTCTCCAAACTCCCCCAACAGTATGGCAGCGCCCAGGTTCGTTGACGCTTCCCTTACTGGCTGTAGGAGCCTTTTCCAGAATCATATCACAGATTATGGAGCTAATCTGTGCGTTTGACATATTGTAGCTGTGCGCTTGTAACTGCCCAACCCGTTGCTTGCGGTGTGTTGGAAGGCTTGGTTCTACGCGTGAGCACTCTGCTGGTTACAGGGCTTGATGCAGAGTGGGAACAAGAAGCAGAGTTGTGGATAAAACTTCGTGACTTCAAGTGGTTGGAAGAGCTGAAAAGCGTGAGCGCCATGTCACGTAATCATTAATCTCAACATTCACTTCGATTCAGACCGTAGCCCGGGGCATACAGGGCATACAATGCATTTTGATGCAGTGAGGGAGGAGTACTATTTCTGGCACAGTTTTCTCCATTAGTCCCGAGTTTAAGTTACTTCGTTATTGCATAGCCGGTGTCTTGAATTGCTCTTCGATGTTTGATCTTGCAGAGCGTGAGCCAGTTTGAACGCCGGCTGCTGAAACTCCGCGACGTAGTTGCGTCAACAATGAAGGTGAAAGACCCTCGAGCACTCCAGGTGGCTAAGTACTACTCAACGTCCGACGGGACAATAATCAGAATGACGTATGATTACACTTGTAGTCTGGAACAATGCACTACGCTTTTCGACGCTCCTGACGTTACCACCGTGGGATTATTGGCATATTCTTGGTTTTCAAGAACACACCTTTAGCTCACCGCCTCACATATGGGCGGAACCGTTGCTTGCATGCAGTCCCGCAACTCCAGATAAACGTGAACATATTGAGCAATTAAAGAAATGGCTATTGGCCTTTGAGAGTGGCGAAGTGAACCAGAAGGTCCCGGAGGTTTCTGAGGACTTCTGGCCTATTCGCAGCCCCAAAACAGGTGATGCAGTATTGCCCATCCACCATAGATGCATTATGTGCAGCTAAGAAGCAAACATTTTTCAACACGTGAGACTTTAAGGAGGTGTGCCTACAACATTCTTTCTGGTGCGACAGTGTTAAGCTTTAGTAATCTAGTACCCATATTTCGCAAGTTTCTGACCAAATCGTATTTTTTGAATTCTATGGGCTACTGCACTGAAGCTATTCCCAGCTTTTTCACTACATAGACTATTTGTGAAAGATCCACCTGTTTTTGTGCATAATTTGTCCAGGCAGGCCTCTGTCCCTTTCCATCTTCAGCTCAAGTACTACTAGTTCGACGGTGACACCCCTTGCACACCGTGTAATTGTCAGTCGAGATGATTACTCTTATGAAACTCCTAAAGGTGAGAACGTGAAGACGGCTTTCGAGACCCCGTTACTTCGCTTTGTTGTAGAGTCTCCCAGTTCGTTTTGTGCAGTGTATCTTAAGCATGCGTTTGAGCCCGTGCCTGCAACAACAAGGGGTTCACAGGTCTGCATGTGGATGCTTTGACGCGCAGCACCGCTTCCTGTGGATGAAGAGTTGGCACCTTCAACAAAACCATTTCCAGGAATGGGTACGACGAGCACCCAGAACCCACGCTGAGGGTCCATACACGTTTTCTTAGGAATGCTTGTTTGTCGGTGCTAAACTCCTTAGCTAATTAAAGTCCCACCAAAATCCAACGAAGTGCATTATCATGCCGCATTCTCCGCATCTCTGCAAAACAGGCACAGCATAAGTTCCTGTTCGCTTGTTTGTATCGCTTGAGAAAGCTGCATGTGCGCTGCTTTGTGATCTCCGGGTGTGTGTAGACATTATTATTCCTGTGGCGGTTCTGGCGGTTTTCCTGGGTTTCGTCGTCCTGTGCATCTTCTGCTGCCGCCGTCGGGGCAAAGCCACCACCAAATCTCCTAAGCCTGTGGGTCGGCTATAGAGATGTTTAAGGCCTTCTAGAGACTGATACAATACAAGATGTAATGCTGTCTTGTCCTGTCTTGTGTTGGATCGGGAGGATAGACGCATGTGTGCTTTTCTGCACTCTGCAGCCCAACGGAGGTTCTCCTGCAACCACTGGCTCGCTTAAGGCCACAGCTGGAAGTAGGGAGTGCACGGCAACCGGCCGCCAACGGCAAGCAGGCGGCAAAGCCTCAACTCCCCACTTCAAAAGAAAAGGGTATGCCGGATCATGAGACTAGGGTCAGTGCGTGCACAGAGGAATCTGTACAGCCCATTAGTCCATGCCAACTACGCTGCAGTCTCCAGACACAGGCCTGCGGCTCTTGCACTCGCCAGAATATCAACTGGCGTTCACCAGTGAGGTTTCCACAGTGCAGCGCAGTGAGTCAAGGGAACCCGAGAAACTGATCCACCTGCCTACGGTGGGCGTTTCCATCACCTTTCCTGCTTTTTCTGCTTCACTGAAGGGGCTACCACCAGGAAACTTGAGCTTGGTGACTAGTTGAAACGGGGCCAAGGCCTTCGTATCCAACGTCCATAGACCGAAGATCAGTGGCACCAACTGTTGGGGAATAAACGAATTGACAGGTTCCCTTTGATTTTGCTGATTCACTAATGGTCTGCAGAAAGGCTACACCTTTTTCTATGGCGGTGTTCGGAGAGATCTCAAGAACCACAACGGCGTACACATCCTCAGCACGAAATTTATTTGATATATATATATATATATATATTTCTCTTTATTTCCATATATGACCTCAACAAGGGCATGAACAATGCAATGTATGCGCATTTCCGTGACTAAGGTGCTTGAGACAGGTGCTTGTGACAGGCTCGGTGCAACGGTTAACGAAAAAGTGTAGAAGTGTGTAGTGCTCCAGATATATGCCAGCAGTAGCTCAATCTTCCATCAACAAACGGCGTGCATATAAATGCAAAGTTTGGTCATACCAACAAACTGCGTATTGCTAGCCTTTAGATGATGCTATATGAGAAATGCCTCCCCAGACCATGATAAATGTGAACAAGCCGCCACATGATGGGCTGCTTGAGGACTGCTTTCTTTCCGCATGGCGAAGCAGCTACACGCTATTGCACGTCTCAGTATTCTTGGTGTATGCAAGAAGATCTACGGAGGAGACAGCACTACTTGTCACAGATGGTCGAGATATGATGGTTCTTTGAACCCGCAGGCGCTGAAGTCGTGTACAGTTACCACTTCAGTGATGCATCTAGCTCCTCAGTTTGTATAGTTGCATTCCATATTTGCTGCAACACCTTAGTATTTCCAATAACTTTTGCAGGAGGCGTATTCTCCCTTTGCTTGCAGCCACCGCTGTCATAGTCGTTCCGCTTGCAGCCCTCTCGCTCAAGGAAGAATGCGCTTACGCTGCCTCCTTCCTAGCTTCCTCGCCAAGGAAGGAGGTAGCATACGCTCATTCTTGAATTTCACCATGAATGAGGAATTTTTCTCGATGATAGGTTTTATACTCCTCTCAGTCTGACATGATTGGTCAAATTCCAGACAGGAATTCGTTAGAGAGGGCGTTTCAGTAGTGAATTCATCTGGCCAGTATACTATTTTCTTTGAAGGCTGATGGTTAAGCCAAGTGAGGAGAGAAGAAGCTCAGCTTAAGATGCCTTCTCCTGAGTAATGGGGGGAAATCCAGATTGGTTGCGTTCTCAAGAATTAGACACCTACCGCTAGCCCGAGGAAATTACGGTTTAGTAGGAACCAGCATGGGCTCGGTGCGACAGAGCTCGCATGGAAGCGCATGCAGATGATACAACGGAGAAGGATATAACTATTTCAAGTATCTGTAAGTACGACCTCTTCTGCAGGAGCCTAGTGCACTCGTGGCTCTTTTTAGTCGAACTGTGGTCAGCGGCATCTTGTCTTGTATCACCCACCGGAGACTGTGCCGTGCTGAAGAGTGCGAGAGACTAATCTGTACAGACGCAGATACCCACTGTATCAAGTTGAGTGAAAATATGAAAATGATGGCTATAGTATCTAATAGACGAGTAGAAGAGGAACGCATCCCTGGGGCTTCAACTTGAGCCAACTGAGGCTTTAAGTAGTTCAAGTAATGACAAATCTCTCTTCTCTAATAATTCAGACACAAATACACCCACAGAGGCACCCTATCGAGATTTGGCATTATGGGAAGGATTCAAGCGGATGAATATTTGAATGAGACATGGAGTTTTGGAGTTGTTGGGAAGCGCGCCCGCCAGTAGCTCCTTTACTGCCGGAAGAGAACTCATCTGGAGGGGGGATAAAGCTCTTTTAAATGGCAAAAGGCGGAGTTAAGGGCATGCTACTAACAGAGGTTCAGAATAGAGCAATCACTGTGACTGTAGTTAGTGTTTTGTCCACAGTTGGGCTGTTCACTGCAACGGAGCGTCTACAACCGACTCCCTTCTGCCTCGCAGTTTTGTCGTAAGAAAACACAAATAAACCGTTTTGTAGATTTTTATATTTGGTGTATTATTTAGTATTTTCCCGAATATTCACGTTGCCTGCCTCCGGCCCGGGGCCTGCAGTGTGCAGCACTACAATGGTGCACCGGAACGGCTTCCAGAGGGCATGCAATTTATAATAGAAGCAAATAATGTACATTAATGAATAAATTAAATAAAGAAATCTTGCTTATTAGCGAAACCAGCTACGCTGGCAGCGGCTCAGATGCCAGTAGGGTCGTCCGCACACCACGATAGGAAGAACGGAGTTGTTTTTCTTGTAACATGGGGACCCCCATAGGTTTTATGCTTTTTAAGATGTATTCAGTAGCTACGTAGTGTAGATACTCAACTACATTGGCTTTCATCAGATAGAGAGAGTCCCACGTAGTAGCCTTGCCGGGCTTAGCTCACTACAGGGCCTCAGTCGACGGCGCCTGTCTGCACCGCACGTTTCCTCATGCTACTGAAACATGGTTCATGAGGGTCCATTTTCATGCAAAATGTATTCTTCTTCAGACTCCTCATCTTTAGAGTTCTAAAATTTACTTCAACAGAGCTCGAAGACGGGAAACAACTGTCTTTTTGAATGAGACCCATGGGTGAGCCTGCGCCACATGCACAGGAGCCTTGCTGCGGCTTGCAGATCCGCTGTTGAATTGCTCTTCTCTATCATGTTTTGATTTTTTGTGTTTTCTTTTTTCTTCTCCCTCATTTAAGCAGAGGCCAACCCTGGTTTGCCCACAAGGGTCGCAGAGTAGCTCGTTGTTTTGGCGCGACAGCCACATCTCTTTTGTTCATTCAAGTTCCCTGTCAAGGCGCTTCATGCGGACACTTCATGAATACCCTGAAGCGCCACCTGTTGGTACAGAGGGATCTTCTGCTGCTGCTCGCCGCTGCTGCTGCTTCATCGGCAGACAACGGCGCTGCTGCTGCAGGACACGATGGTAGAGCCGTCTGATGCATCTATCCCCTCGGGACCTGCTGCAGCTGCTGCATTACCAACAGCGTTGCCTGCAGCAACAGATGCAGGGGCTGCTGCAGTAGGGGGGAAACGCCAACCCCTGGCTGCTACGTGGGAAGCTACGCCAGATGCCGCCGCTTCAACTTGTGTCTCAGGCTCCGAAGGGTCTCTCCCCTCCAGCAATCAGCAGCAACAGCAGCAGCCGCAGCAGAAGCTCCAAAGCGACGTTCAGTCACCTGTACACTGCACTGAGGCTCAATCCGATCGGCTTACTGCCTCAGGCTCAGGAGACACTGCGATGCCACAAAGTGAACAGCAGCCACAGCAGCAGCAACAGCAACAGCTGCATGCGCAACATCCAGGCGGCCTTGCCCTCCATGTTGCATCTGTGAAGCGTTCCCAAGGCAACAGGAGCGACGGCAGCGTTGAGTGTGGGGCCCCATCGGCCCCCTTGACCTCAGATGCAATATCCAGTGTTGCGGCTCAGCAGCTGCAGCGAGGGAGCAGCGGCAGCAGCTGCTGCAGCAGCACATCTATTGGGGGCGAACTGAGGGGGCTTATCAATGCCCTTGCTTCTGTTGACTCAGCTGCAGGCAGCGGTGAGTTGCAGCAACTGCTGCAACAGCTGCTAGCGGAGCGCGATTTGTACAAAGCAGCCTTCGGCGCAGCCAAGGAGGAGCTCAAGGTAAGAGAGACATAGCGCAATAATCCACAGTAAAAAGATATATTTTATATTATCTCAATATATATTTAAGAGGCTGATAGTGAGGGGAAGACTTGTTCTGGGGAGGACAAGAGCAGCAGCTGGAGCCTGCTGCAGCATAAGGTAGAGGCGTTGCTTCAATTTGCTTCTGCTGCTGCGCTGCAGGACCTGGAGTGTCGGAAGCAGCAGCTTACGCAGGCGCTGCAGCAGTCTGAACAGGAACGGCGGCAGGAACGCATGCAGCAGCAGCACGCTGCAGCAACAGCAGATCAACCAGCGGCAGAGACAGGCGCGCCGCAGGATCCCTCGATGCAGTGGAACGGCAGCAGCAGCACCAGCAGCGCAGCACAGCAGCAGCAGCAGCACGTGGATTCCAACGGCAACCCAGCTAGCAGCACCTGCAGCAGCGCGGAGGGGCCTTATAACTGGCTTCACCAGCTGCATGCATGCGTCGCTTCGGGCACCTATCCGCGGCCGGAGCTGCTGCAGAAGAGTGTTGAGCAGCAGCAGCAACTCATCAGACTTGCAGAGGGACTGCAGCAAGAAAGGGAGAGCTACGTTGAAGCAGTGGCTTGTCTACACTCCCAGTCCGTCTGGCTGCGCTTTATGGGGCTGCTGCTTTCTTACTCTTGTATTTGAACGCAGTTGCAGTGTACACACTACATATATATATATATATTTGTAGTATATATATGTACGTATATGATCTGCATGTATATGCATCTGTATTTGTTATGTGTGGCTGCCATATATGTATGTATATATATATATATATGTATAATATATATATATATATGTATATATATATATATATGTATAATATATATATATATATGCATATATATGTATATATATGTATATACACGCAACAAATATACACTATATATGAACGCTATATATATACTAAATACTATGTATATTGGCGATATGTTTGGATGTGTTTGTGTGTATTTGTTTGTTTGCGTTTTCTTTGCAGATTGCGGGAGGCCCGAGAAGATGTTTCTTTGTACATGTCTGCGCATGCAACGCATGCAGCAGATCTAACGGCAGAGTCGGATGAAGCCATAAGAGCAGCAGACTTGTGGCTGCAGCATGCATTGCGTGTAGGCACTAAGTGCAAGTTCTGGGGGGTGGGTTCTGTTGTGCACAGCCAGGAAGCAGCAGCAGCAAGTGCTGCAGCTTCATCGCGGGCCTTAACACTGTCTCGTGCATGCAGCAGCGAGACGCAGTCGGAAGCCGTTGCTGCTGCTGCTGCTGCTGCACTCTCTACTGCAGCAGAGCCTGTACCAGGGGTCTCTGTAGCCCTGGCTGCTGCTGCTTCTGTCTTCTGCATCCAAGAAGACTCCGTAGGAGATGATGGCGAACCTGCAGACGCAGTTGCTGCTGGCGCTGCAGCAGCAACAGCAGAGCTGGAGCGGCTCTGGTGGGGGCAGACGGGTGATGCCCTTGCGGAGAGGCAGCAGCTTCTGAAGCAGCAAGAGCAGAGACAGCGAAACAGCCGTCTCTTGTGGTTTCTAGAGTAATGAGCAGCCTGCAGCAGCACTTTCGGTCTCTGCTGCTGCAGCGTCTATCTGCTAGAGCACCCCGTACACTCTGTTACTATAGAGATAAATAATATATAATGAAGATCCTTATTAAATAAGCTGCTCAGGGGGCTCCGACCGCTGCTTCGCTGCAGCAGCTGCGCTGCTGGACCACTGGTCTGTTCAACAAGACCAGTGGTGATGGGTGGCTCGGCTACTTGGGACTTCTTTCTTTTTTGCTGGTGCACGCGGCGTTAGTCTTCTACCTATTACGCGCTCTTCCCTCTTAGGCTGTTTTGTGTGCACTTATATTGCATGTGCTTGCTTCTTTTATCGAATAATAATTGCATGCGCTCCATACTGTTGCATAGCGGCTCAGTGAACTTGGCTGCACTTTAGGGCTATCCTTCCGCGTTTACAATAAACATATATATATATATGCATATGTGCATATATACGTGCATAGATAGATACACATATATATGTATATATATACATATATATGTACATATGTAAATATCAATATACATGTGTATATACATCTTCATACACAAATATATATGCATATATATGTGCGTATATTAATATATATATATATATATATATATATATTTGTGTACAAGCTACCACTGCATATGCGTCTTCTGTGAACGGCGGAGCTGATATACACCTCCCCAATACGCATTAGGAGTATATTCTAATATTATACTCTCATAGATTATTAAAGGACTAACAGTGCTATTGGTGTTGATGCCTGCAGCAGGAGCTGCAGATACTGCAGCAAACTGCACGAAAAGTCGCATGCATATTAATGAAGACAAACTGCACGGGAATGAAGGCTCAAGCTTTTTCTGTAAACAAAAGAAAGTCTCATAATATTATTTTCTTTACATTTCAGGGGAGGGGGGATAGGCCTTTGGGCGCACAAGGCCTTTGGGCGCACAATGTCATAGATATATAGATATAAATGTAATATATATATATATATATATAATGTACATGTATACGTAATGTCATGGATATATAGATGTAAATGTAAATATATATGTATATATATACATATATATATATATATATATATGTATATATAGGTATACGTATGGTCGGCATGTTTCTGAGGTATTGTTCGTTTAGTTGTGTATGTAAATTGATGGTACGATAACAATATATATTATATTATTATATAATAGATATTATATATATTATATTATATATATAGATTTAATAAATTTTGTTAATATATTCGCTTGAACTAGTAGAAGAAGACTGCAGTTCTTCACTTTACAATATCTTCAGTACGTTTAGAAAGCACAAGGCTGAAGGAAAGTTTATATAATAAATGCGTCTTCGTTGTAGATAGAATAATGCTAAATGATCTAATATATTTGTTATATTAAATATAATTTATGTTATTTATGCTTTCGCTGCATTTATACACAATATTTAAAGATATGGCGCTCTTATCTGCTGCATGCAGAGGCCTCAGCAATGTTTGGGGCTTTGATGGTGGAAGAAACGCTGAAAAATATTATTTTTAATCATTTTGAGTTTTATACGAAGAAGAAAAGAAGACAAAGAACGCAAGTTGTTATTATTTAATTAACATCATTCTTCTTCCTCTAGTCTCCCCACATACTCTCCTGAGGTGTATATACACAGCACAGAGTGGCTGTACATTTGCTGCATCGACTTATTTTACTTTTGAATTCTTTTTTAGAGTTAAAGACAACAGAGAAGACCTTCAAAAGGCCTCAGCCGCTCACCCCCCATCTCCTCATATGCGTGCATCCATCAATACATACATACTTACATATATATAAATATTATATATCTGTATGTATAGATATAATATATGTATACATATATATATTATACTCTCGCCCATACAGCCTTGAAGAGACAGAAGCTGGTGGGTTAGCAGAGTTTTTTAGGGGCTTTTAAGCGGCTTCTTTTCTTGCATGCATCAGCCTGTTATATTTTTTTAATTTGCGGTGTATGGAGGGAATGGGTGGTGTTGACGGCTGTGCGAGTTTGTTTTTGTCTTTTGTTTCTCCTACTAGCTAAGATGGATTTAGAGCAAAATGAAGAAGAGAGAGGCCTCCTCAGCTCTCAAGATTTAAAAGATATACCGGTATTGTTGCCGCTGCAACGCTGCAGAGGCCTCGGATGGCTTAAAGGAAAACACTGGGGATGTTTAGGGCTTATTGACTCTGGTTTATATGCAGCACTCTTTTCTCGTGTTGTGCTGGTACAAGACAGCGACAACGGCGCCGCAGCAAATACGGCTGCTCCTCCTCCTGCTGCTGCTACCCCTCCTTCTGCTGCTCCTGCTGCTGCTGCTCCTACTGCACCATTTGCTGCAGCAGCAGAAGCAGGAAGCAATACAGGAGATGCTGTGCTGCGCGTCCTTGATAGCGTCAGCCCTGTGGAGATGGAGGCAGCACCAGGTGAAGCAGAAGAAGAGGGTGGGGTAGCAGCAGGGGAAATGTTTGCTGCACTGCTGCTGCCCGCCTCTCATCCTATTAAAAGAGACTCTAAAGTCATTGAAGGAAATTTTACTGTTTTACACAAAGTACAACAAGATTCAGCAGAAGGAGAAGACGCCACGGAGTTGCAAGTCTGCTGCGGTAGGCTGCTGGTGCCCCTGCTGCTGCTGCTGCTGCTGCTGATGCTGATGCTGCTGCAGCTCCTGCTCTGCCTCTTACTGCTGCTGTTCCTGTTGCTGTTGCTGCTACTGCTGTTGCAGTTGCTGCTAAGTTTTTTGCTGCACTTTGCAGGGGAGATGCTCTGGCATCCGCAGCCGCCGCTGCTGATTGCTTGCCGCAGTCTCTGGACAGCACAGCAGCGCATGCGGCTGACAAAAGGCAGCAACAACCCATCTGCAACAGCAGCAGCAGCTGCTGCTGCCTCAGTAGCAGCAGCGCCAACAGCAGCAACAACAACAGCAACAGCAGCAGCAGCAGCAGCAGCAGCAGCACCAGGGGCACCTAACGAGTATCTCGTGCTCTCAGACATAGAAGAGAACGACGATGAGGGGCCGTCTGCTGCAGAGAAAAATCTAGAGGCCTTCCGTGGGTGTCTCTCCCTGTTTGCTGCTGCTGCTGCTGCAGCGGCAGCAGCAGCCCGAGCTGCAGCTGTAATTACCTTCATGAATCTAAGCGTGCATGCATGCATGCATGCATGCAGGCTTAGATTCATTATATTTTCATTTAATTGTTTTTTTTTGCTCTTGTTATGCAGGGGCTACTGACGTACCTCGTGCGGCACTGAAAGCGCTGCGGGGATCGCTAAGCGATAGAGAGGCCTTTCGCCGCATTGCAGCAGAAACGTAAGCAGAAGCAGCGGCTGTTGTTGCTGCTGCTGCTGCTGCTGCTTCTGCTGATGCTGTGCGGCTCTGTCTGCGTGTGGTTTGCTCTTCGCTTGTTTTTCTCTTGGTATATTTACCTCTTTGTCGTTCTCTCTCTCTCTCTCTATATATATATATATGTATATATATATATATGTATACATATATATATGTATATGTATATATTTATTAATTCCGTTTATATATATTTAATATCCCTGTTGGCGTTTTGTTTATTAATCTGTAGATGCATTTTGTTAGCTTCCTACCCTCACAGTTGCTGAGCCAATAGGCGAGCTCTCCTTTGAATTGTATATAAAATAAATTAAAAATATATTATATATTATATATTGTAAATTACTTATATAGTATTATATATATTATATGAATTATACATTTTTATACTATAGGGCATTTGAGTTCGTCTTTGTTATTATCACCTTCAAACTGTCGTCTCTGCCTGCAGCCCGTAGCCCCTTTCTCTGTCTTGTTGTCTGGGGAAGAAGAATTTTTATATGTTTTTGCATGCGTTTGTTTGCATGCGTTTGTTTGCATGCGTTTGAATGCACTTTATGCTGTGCTTCTGTTGTTTTAAAATGTGCATTTGTTGTTCCGCAGAGCTGCGGTGTCTGTACAGTCAATTCGCCAAATGCCGGCGACGCTGGCCCGACTCTCAGCTGCAACAGCGGAGGTCTTCCAGAGGTGCACTTGAGTTGCTGCTGTTGCTGTTGCTGCTGCTGCTGCTGCTGTTGCTGCTGCTGCTGCTGCTGTTGCTGTAGCAGCAGCAACTGTTGCTGCTGCTACATTGAAGCGACTTACTTAAAAGGCAGCCCAGCTTCCCCTGCATAAATTATTATTATTACAATTAATACTAATAACAATAATGATAATAGTTATTATTATAATTATAATTAAAAATAATAATAGTAATAATAATAGAGATTATTATTATTATTATATTTGGAGGTGAATGCGAAATGGCATTTGTACACACAAATGATGCAAAGATCAGCGAAATATACGCATATGCATAATATATAATATATATAATATATACTGTATATTATATAATATATATAATATATATTATATGTATAATATCTAATATCTATAATATCTATTATGTATACAATATATAGTAGATATAATCTATATAATGTATATAGTATGCAATATATATTATAACTCATGTTCAAATTGCATGACGATTGATTGTGCATGCAGGGCAGCAGCGGATTGGGCTGCTGCTGGCAGCGCTGCTATTCAGGCTGCTGCAGCCTCTGCAGCAAAAGTGCAGAAGGCGTGGAGGGAGATGCACGATAAAAGCAGCAGCAGCAGCACTAACAGCAAACCGGACGCAGGAAATGATGCAGACAGCCATGCATAGGAGTGCAGGAAGGCAGCACATGAGGCCTTATGGTGTATGCGCGCCTCTACGGTGTATGTACACCTTTTAGGGTATATGTACACCTCTTGGGGTGTATGTACACCTCTTGGGGTGATTGTACACCTCTTGGGGTGTATGTACACCTCTTGAGGTGTATGTACACCTCTTTGGGTGTATTTACACCTCTTGGGGTGTATGTACACCTCTTGGGGTGTATGTACACCTCATACACTGTGTGCATCTACGGTGTATGCACACCTTTCTTTACACGTCGTTGGTTAGTTGCTTACAGGTTTCAAAGGAACACAACCGAATCCCTGGTTGCATATAGATTTACATATATATATTATATATATCATACATTATATATATAATATATATATACACCTTGTGGGGGGTTCGTTTGTTTGTACTGTACGATGTTCTATGCCCTTCACTTCTTCAGGTGTCGCTACTGTGGAGCGTTGAGCTTTAGGTTTATTCTTTTTGTAGATAAAACAATTATGTAGTGCTGCACATTTAAAAGCAAACACAGTCTAAGTGGTTGCTGGGCTGTCTGTACACCTCGGCGGTGTATTGACTATACAGCCTGCGGAGTGCTGCCGATGAGCAGGCGTCCATTTTTTTTTTCTATTACTTCTACTATTTCCATCATTATTATATATAGAAGTATCATTTTCCCTGTCATTTGTGCTCTTACTGCTGCTCCTATTGCTGCCACCAAAACTGCTATTTTTGAGTATTACTATAGTACTTCATATTACGAAAGTATACGTACACACATATATACATATATATGTATAAGTATACGTACACACATATATACATATATATGTATATATATATATATATATATATATATACCGTTTTTGTTTATTCAAACCATACTATTACTATTAGTTATAGCAGGAAGGAGGCGTTTGTTTTCTAAAGAGAAGGCAGCCACGCACGCAGACAGAGACGCTCTATCACGAAGACAGAGACGCTCTTTCTATAGGAGGGTCACTCTATATGCGTATTACTGCGGGACAGCCCTCTTTATGGCTTTGTTTTGTTGGTCATCAGACGCATGCAGTTAGAAGATATAATTTAAAGAAAACAGACGCCTACTTGGCTTATTATTGTAGCTGTATTACAAGCCCTAACCTGTTGGGGTGTTGATGAGGGGTGTTGGTGTTGTTAGCCCGCACGTAATTATGACGCCATTAATAGTAATATTGCTAGTTGTTGCTGTTCGCAATGAAGCATAGTAGACGCTAAATGATGTATCGCTTATGCTGGGGTGTACGCACACTGTACATATATGTATCACTGAGAATGCATACATGCACCAGATAGAAAAGAGCTAAAAGGAGGCGGCAGCCTCCCTTATAAATGTCTCTCCCAGCCACTAGCAGAAACAACATTCAAATGCTTTATAGAACTATCATTAGATTTATTAGAAAGAAAGGCTGCTCAAGCTCGTACGAACTTCCCGTGTGGGGCAGCAGCGCAGCAGCAGCAGCAGAAAGCAGCAGCAAATGAAGACTGCAGCAGACCCGAACAAGCCTCACTATGAACATGCATATGCAGTACTTTCAAACACTAAACGTTAGAACAAGAAGACGAAAGCCACCCCACCATCAAAAGCCCTCCTCTATCTGTGCTTCGTGCCGAAATGCATGCACGGGCCAATAGGGGGTGTAGCAGCATACTATATTTTATTTGCACACATGAAGGGAAGGGGTCTCATGAAATGCATTAAGAGTTTCAAAACAAAGGGTAAAAGGAAGGAAACTTTACAAGACATTGCACCGTTGCTGTCTCGCACCTGTCTGCAGAACACAGCCGCACGAAGAACATCACCCGTCTTATAACATAACAATAGAGTATAACGAATATAGGCTTGCATGAGGACCTGCAACACACTTTTTGGAATAAGAAGGTCTGTTCAAAGTAGTGCTTCTTAAATTCAACTTAAATAACATTGTTTTTCAGGTGTCTTTCCAGCATTGCATCTGCAGATACCCCCCAAAGCGCCCGGCTCTTGCACCGCTCGGCCTTCTTCGTCTTCTTTAGAGAACAGTCTTTTGCTACGTCTAAGAATAAAAAATATACAATAAATAATTAAAGTTAATTACTCTGAACATGAATTTTGCTTATTATTGTAGCAGCACCTTAACACCCACGCGCGTGGTGTGTAGGCAGGAAAGAACTGCGCAGCCGCCTTGCGAAGCCACTGGCTTTCACTAGTATCTTAATTGGGGAAACTTAAGGTTTATTTTTCTTCATTTATATAAATTTGAATCCATTAATTATTATTTTATTCGTTTTTTAATAGAGTTGAAGACCGCTGCAGCTCTAAGAAGTGCAGCAAAGGAGAAGAAACCCGTTTGAGCCCCGAGTGGCTGATCAATCTTTTGTTGCTTTCGTCTTCTAATGATTGTTTGTTTTTCTCTAAATACTGTGAATTATTAAGAACAATTCTATTATTAATATTTGGAAGGTAAAGGCTTCTTCAGGCCGCTTTGATATATATATTTTCCCCCAGCAGCCATTGGCTGCTTACTGCCAGTTGAGGCAGCACAGAGCTAACGGTGTTATACAATATAAGCACAAGAAAGCGGCTGGAGGCGGCGCTGCTGCAGCGTTCGTTGCACCATCTGGATGCGTAGATTTCTTTTAAAAAGTCAATTTCTTTTTAAGTTTGAATTTCTCTTTGTTTTGCCTCTGGATACCGAGGCAGAAGCTACTCTTTTTCTGCATTTGTTCTCACCAACTTGGTCAGAGCGCGCACAGCGTTCAGAGGAAATCAGACTGTGGGGCGCAGCAGGAGTTGAATTTTTACTGTAGCAGCACTTTGCAGTTTGTTTCTGAAGGATTTGTTTGAATTTTTCTTTTTTTGTCTTCGTAGTCATGTCTAAAGGAGACCATTCAGACGCTGCAGAGGCAGCAGGAAGCGTGGGTGTCTCTACAGCTAAGATGGATGAGGTGCTGAGCACATATGATGTGGAGAAGAAGAAGAGCGACGGATCTTCAGTGTGTTGTTCAGGGAGAAAGCTAATGATATCTCGCTGTGAATGGTGGCTAACGACAACAGCATTTTTCTTTTTAGGCATGAGCTCTCTCTTTGCCTGGAACAACGTCTTATACCTTCTTCCTTATGTAACCGAGCACTTTCTTGATGGTTATGATGCAGGAAATTCGTTATTGGGGGCGTTTCAGATAGGCAATTTAACAGTACAAGTGCTGTTAATGTTCGTCGGCACAGTAAAAGAGAGATGGTTGCACCTGGGGCTCTTCCTTGGCTCTGTTATGTGTGCTGTTTTCGGCCCGTGTGTATTCTTTGGAAGCCTAAAGACTCGCATTGCCTTAGTACATACTTTATGCTTCGTACTGGGTAGCGGGAGCGGTTTTGTACAAGGAAGCGGCTTCTCTTACGGGGCTATCATGCCTGTTAATCAAGTGGGTGTATACAGTGCAGGGCAAGGCTTCGGTGCTATATTCTCAGTGGTGTTAGTAGGGATTCTTTCCTATACTGTTGTTGATACAAGCGTTCAAAAAGATGTAGAGACGCTTGTTAATTCAACAGCAGGTGTAAGTGCTGCAGTGGGCATTATATGTATACTTCTTATCGCTGCAAGCATCAGGCAAGCAGGAGCAAAGAAAGCTATCGCTGAAGCCCTTGCAGCAAATTCAAACTGTAAAAGCAGCGAAGAAGTACATAGATCTGCCAGCAGCCCTACTGAATTACAGGAGGTCTCTGTTTCTTCTTCAGTTGTTCCTGCTGTGATGAGTAGTGAAGAAAAGAAGCAGAGTTCTCTGCTGCGTGTCCTGCAGCAATCAGGCATCCCTATTGCCTGTGTCTTCTTATTATTCTTTGTTACTTGCAATCTGTTCCCTCGTGTAGGCCCTCTACAGTGGAAGACAACAACCCCACCAAAGAACCACCTTGTATGGCTACTAGGTGTATTTCCTTTTGGAGATACAATCGGTAAATGTTTATGTGCATATGCAGAGCAAGGTAAATTCTTAAAAGGTTTTGTTATGTTTCCGCCTAGGGTTCTACCTTGGTTAACGCTCTTAAGATTTGCTTTATATGTACCTTTCTTCTTAAGCAAGCATTTACAAGAAAATGCAGTATTTAACGCCTTCTGGTTTCAGATAATTGAAATGATTATTCTCTCTGTTTCTCACGGATGGTTTGCTACACTTGCGTTTATATACAGTGTAGATGCAGTGCCTGATGTAAGAGAGAAGAAGCATGTGGGGCCGATTGCTATTGTTAGTCTTATACTTGGTATATTATCGGGTTTATACTTCGCGCTGCTTTACAGATAATAAACAAAAATGCATTCTAAACAAATTACAGATGGATAATGCATGCAGCTGGAGGCCCTACTACTGCAGAACAGAAGACGGTATAGAAATAACGCCTATTAAATCTATATGATATATATTCTTGAGATATATTTATATTACTATTTATGAGGAGATTATACTTGTGTAGAATAATATAAAAAATTCGTCTCTGTCTCTACTACTTCTCCGGGAGAAAGGAACAGCAAAGGAAGTAAATAATTAAACATATTTTAATCTTTTTAAGAGATTAATAAACAATTAGCCGCAGCAGCGGTGCTGTCTACCTCCTTAGGCTCGAGAAGAGAGGAGAAGAAGTAATTAATAGGAGACAGGAAGATGAAGAAGACGAAGTATAAGAACTACGATGATACACCACTTGTCTGTACATATATAACTTTCTTGTCTTGTATATAATATATATATAATATATACTTTATATATATTATATATATATTATTCGCATATTGCTTGTCTGTGTATAATACTTGTGTGTATATTCTACGTGCTGAAGCGTATTACATATATGTATATATTTCAATATGTATATATGTATACTACTACTACCCTTTCTCCTTTACATGTCTATATATATATTATATATTTAATATATATACTACATATAGTATATATATATTGTATATATTATATATATAAACATG